ATACTCTTGTTAGCCGATTCAAGGTTAGATTCACTTTCCCATCTCCTCCCAACCCCGACCGCTAACGCATTGGAATCGCCTAGCTGATAACTGGCCGCCGATTCTTCAAGGTATTCGCATCACTAGAATAGGGGCGTACAGGCTGCGGCCCGATCGCACCGCCCATCCGTAGACGCACAGGTTGCGGCTCGATCGCACCGTCTACTAGTTACTCGAAGGCGCATAGGTTGCGACTCGATCGCACCGCCTGACAGAATAGGGAACTCCGAATTAACCACACGAATACAGCTGGCCGGAGTCACGGGAGTGATTCCAAATGCGCCCTGTACGCAGGGGTGGTCATAAAAAATTCATCAAAAAATTAGAATACCAACTAAAGCATGGACAAGCGTACCACCCTTACCTAGGTGTCGAACCCACCAACTCCGCTCCCGACAAGGGGCATCCTCGCTCCACTGAACCCCCTCGCTCTCCAGAATCTCCTCAGCCGCCCGTGCCAGAGCACCCGAAAGCTACCGCTCGCAAACCATACAGTGTTAGCAAGATCGATTGTGACACCCATCCGCGACTACCGATCATTCGACGCGGATTCTCGCCACGAGACCCGAGGCCTGCTTTCTACCGTCGACTGCGTGCAGAGATCCTCCACTACTACTACGGAGCATCTACCCCGCCTCACACTCTCCGCACCTGTAACGAGAAAACTCCGACCCTCGAGCAACTCCGTGGGCACGTGCGCAACTCCATGATACAGGTGTGCCAGATCATTACATTGGATTAAAGGAACTGGTGAGTGTCAATTGCTGTATACTCCGCGGAACATCGTGTCGTGCCCGCCAGATCGCGCGTATCCCTGGGGAGAATCACGCGATTCGTTTGACCCAAAAACTGCGATCTAGCCCCGCGTCCAGGCCCGAGCACCTGCAACCTAGCATCGCAGGCGCGGCCGACCGGGACGTAACAATCTTCAACGACTGTTCGACGAATGTGGCGTCGTCGCGCGGTCGTCGAAACGGCGACGAACGGTCGCGCAACCGGCGAGTTGATCGGTGGAGACGACGCGACGGACAACGCGTTATTCCGCGAATACGCGAACGGGCCGATCGGCGAATCAACGGTGGAGCTGTACGCGAAGCACGTGCGCGTGACGCTGCGGGCGATCGGTGTGCGACAAATGCTTAAGTTGCAGAACTCGTTCGGCCAGAAGGGCGTCGCCCATTACGCCGATCTCAGCGATCTCGATACAGACTGGGGGGAACTCGTGAATCTGGTGTCGTCGATCTACAGTCTGCTTGGACGTTTCGCTTGCGGATAGTAGCTCGAGCAGCGCGATGACTGTCGATACGTTTTCTCGCGACGGACTGGCATGTGCGTGGGTACGGCGGCTACGGGTACTTTTTCGTCATCGACGATTCGGCGCACAACAATTTCATCTACAGCTTCAAACACGAGGGCGAGAATCCGATGCACGAGTGTAAGCTCACGTACCACAGTTTTCTGGAGAACGGTATGTCCAGTGCGGCGCTGGTGAAAGCCAGTGAATTCGAGTGCGGAATAACAAATCCGTACGCCGGTCTGCCGCGAAACGTCTCGCGGGCGCTGGATTGTTATGGCGTGTACGATCAACGCATTCACCTGGAGTCGCAGACTCTGCTGGTCGCGCGACGACGAATGCTCGATCGCGTGACGGTGCGAGCCATCGGACGCATGGTCGGTGAACGAGATGATGGAGCCATCGTCGCGTCGACGACGCGGAAACGACGCGCGTCTCGACGCGACGCGGCGAATGAGCGACCGCGAGAAAAGATCGCGTCGTGCGGAAAATGCGCCGAACGAGCGAACGCGGAGACGAACGCGCGACCGTGAAGCGCGCGTGCGACGCCTCAGCGCGCGAAACGAACGCGATCGCTCGAGCGAACGACGAATTGTGCGAAATCGACGCGCTGTTCGACGAGCTCTGTCGCCCCGACGAGAGAGTTCGGTCCGGCGCCGACGACGAACGCTCGTTGCGGCGAGATCAGCGAGGCGTTTTGGCGCGCGTGGCACGTTCGTCGCTCATACGACGTTTGTGTCGCGAATTGTCCATGGGGACGGTCGCCGCTTTCGACGACGACGCCTCGACGACGCCGGTGTCGCGACTGCGAGCGTTGTGCTCGCGGGCGTTCGCGGCTAGCATTAGCTTGGACGAGCGCCTCTGGCGGTCCTGATCACGCGTAGCCGCGACCTCACTGATGTCACATCCGCACTACCAATTGTAAGAGGAAGCACCACACAAAAATTTTTTTTCTCCTCTTCTTTATTTTCTCTCTCTCCTCTCCCTGGAATCACCACAAATTTTTCTAAGCCCTGCGAACCTAAAATTTCTCTAAGTCCCCTAACTACAAATTTTTCTAAGCCCCTCGAACATAAAATTTTCTAAGTCCTTCGACCCTAAATTTTTCTAAGTCCCTCAACCCAAAACTTTTCTAAGTCCCTCGGCCGAGAATTTTTCTAAGTCCCTCCGCACCGAAATTTTCTAAGTTCTAATTTGCAAACCCCCACTACCTTCCCACTCCAGAGGAAAATTCGGCGGCTCGGGAAAGCCGCAGCTCAGGGACCGCGGAGCGCCCGAGAGTCAGTCTCAGTCGTGCAGTGATCTGGTGCAGTGCTTCCTCCATCCCTCCTAGGGTCTAGTATAAGTGCTAAATCTAACTTAGAATATTTTCGTGAGTTTTAACTTAGAACATTTTCATGAATGTGAACTTAGAATATTTTTGCTAAATCTAACTTAGAATATTTTCGTGAGTTTTAACTTAGAATATTTTCGTGAATATGAACTTAGAATATTTTTGCTAAATCTAACTTAGAATATTTTCGTGAGTTTTAACTTAGAATATTTTCGTGAATATGAACTTAGAATACTTTTGCTAAATCTAACTTAGAATATTTTCGTGAGTTTTAACTTAGAATATTTTCGTGAATATGAACTTAGAATATTTTTGCTAAATCTAACTTAGAATATTTTCATGAGTTTTAACTTAGAATATTTTCGTGAATATGAACTTAGAATATTTTTGCTAAATCTAACTTAGAATATTTTCGTGAGTTTCAACTTAGAATATTTTCGTGAATATGAACTTAGAATATTTTCACTAAACCTAACTTAGAATATTTTCGTGAGTTTTAACTTAGAATATTTTCATGAATGTGAACTTAGAATATTTTTACTAAATCTAACTTAGAATATTTTCGTGAGTTTTAACTTAGAATATTTTCGTGAATATGAACTTAGAATATTTTTACTAAATCTAACTTAGAATATTTTCGTGTATTCGTTTTAGTTAAAATATACTCTTGTTAGCCGATTCAAGGTTAGATTCACTCTCCCATCTCCTCCCATCCCCGACCGCTAACGCATTGGAATCGCCTAGCTGATAACTGGCCGCCGATTCTTCAAGGTATTCGCATCACTAGAATAGGGGCGTATAGGCTGCGGCTCGATCGCACCGCCCATCCGTAGACGCACAGGCTGCGGCTCGATCGCACCGTCTACTAGTTGCTCGAAGGCGCATAGATTGCGACTCGATTGCACCGCCTGACAGAATAGGGACCTCCGAATTAACCACACGAATACGGCTGGCCGGAGTCACAGGAATGATTCCAAATGCGCCCTGTACGCCGGGGTGGTCGTAAAAAATTCATCAAAAAATTAGAATACCAACTAAAGCATGGACAAGCGTACCACCCTTACCTAAGTGTCGAACCCACCAACTCCGCTCCCGACAAGGGGCATCCTCGCTCCACTGAACCCCCTCGCTCTCCAGAATCTCCTCAGTCGCCCGTGCCAGAGCACCCGAAAGCTACCGCTCGCAAATCATACAGTGTTAGCAAGATCGATTGTGACACCCATCCGCGACTACCGATCATTCGACGCGGATTCTCGCCACGAGACCCGAGGCCTGCTTTCTACCGTCGACTGCGTGAAGAGATCCTCCACTACTACTACGGAGCATCTACCCCGCCTCACACCCTCCGCACCTGTAACGAGAAAACTCCGACCCTCGAACAACTTCGTGGGCACGTGCGCAACTCCATGATACAGGTGTGCCAGATCATTACATTGGATTAAAGGAACTGGTGAGTGCCAATTGCTGTATATACTCCGCGGAACATCGTGTCGTGCCCGCCAGATCGCGCGTATCCCTGGGGAGAATCACGCGATTCGTTTGACCCAAAAACTGCGATCTAGCCCCGCGTCCAGGCCCGAGCACCTGCAGCCTAGCATCGCAGCCGCGGCCGACCGGGACGTAACACTGAGCACCAAGCTACGACTGACGATCGACGACGCGGACGACGCGACGGCCGCGAACGACCGAATCAGCGCGTATCGTTATGACGACGGTACGAGTACCGACGACCACGGCGTCGCGGTGGACGACACGCCCTCGGCGTGGCTGCGACTGTCCGACGCTAATCGAGCGCGACGACGAGGTGTCGGGTCGCGTTGGCGAGAGAGTCGCGACGAGTCGATTCGCGACTCTGCGCTCGCGGGTCTCGTGTGAGTACGATCTGCGCGAATGCGTCACACTGCTGATCGCGCGATCGTACGTTGCGCGAAGGTCGCTCGAGGTGAGCGCGTCCGCTGGCGAGCGACTCGCTGTCTGTGCGACGAGGTGGCGCGATCGCGCGCCGAACGCGACGCTCTGTGCGACAAAGTGGCGCGATCGCGCGAAGCCGCGAACGCGGAGCATCGCGAGATATCGATGAAGCGCGACAAAGCACGTGAATTGCGTGCCGTCAACGAGGTGCTGAACGCACGCGTTCGGTTGGAGCGAGAACGCGTGGCGAATCGAACGAATCTGATCATAAGCGTGATCGTCGACGGTATGCGAGGGGTGGCCGATTTCGCGGAACGTAGTAGACAGCGTAAACTCGCGGAGCTTCGGGCCTCCCGGCAGCGACTCGTGGCGGCGCGCAACGACACGCTGAAATCGGTGTCCTGGACGCTTCGCGCGATGGACATGGCCAACGCGGGAGCGTACGATTCGGACGCGTCCGACGTCGCGTTGAGCGCGGAGTCGGATATGCGCGCCACGTTGGCGCGATGCGCGACCAGCGGAAAGCTCGTGCTGTTGACCGAGGGCGGAGTGGCTGACGTTGAAGTGACCTCTGCGTCGCGCGCGTCGACGGACGACAACGATGACCAAGAAAGCAAGGCCGCGAGACGCCTGGCCGTCGAGTTGCGCGCCACAGTGCCTCGATGCGATGCGCTGAAGCGATCGCGCATTCACAAATTCGCTCGGCTCTGGCGGAACAGACCGTCGCGCGAAGCAGACGCGAGACGCTTCTGCGCACGCGAGACGTGCTGACGTCTCGCGTGCGCGTTTACGCCGGGTTGTTGCGCCGTTACGCCCTGTGGTATTCCTGTATCATCGACATGGGCCGGTACGAGAGCGTGGTTCCGTATTGAATCCAAGAGCGACATCGGCCGTCGACGTCGACTGGTGTCACGACCATCGCCGATTGGTCCCGCGAGCTCGATCGAGACGCTTACGACGCGATCGTGCGTTCGGTGACGCGTCGAAGACCGCGAGCGACGAGAGCCGGGAACGGGTCGGCGTGCGACTGCGGCGATGCGTTCGCCGTGCTCAAAGATCTGGTCGAACTGAGGCACGCGTACGACGACGGCTGTGACGACGAGTACCGAAAGCGCTGTCGAGATCGACAACGCGACCGAGCTGTGGCGCGAGATCGTCGACTTCGAACGCACCACTCGAGTCGTCGAGATCGGCGATCGCGCGTGCGATCTCGACACGACGCGCTGGTTGTCGCTGTTCGCGAGCATATCGCTGGCCGATCGCATTGGACTGCGCTTCGCCGTTTATTGCGTCTCGGCGCCGTTCTCCTATCGCCCGCCCACCGTCGAGACTCTGCGAATCGTGGAGTCCTCGGTTCGAACGCACGAGGCGTGCTGACGGATGGACTGTATGAGTTCATACCACGCACGAGAGTCTGAACGTCTCACTGAGCGATCTGCCGGGCTACGAGGAGCAGCACGCGCTGTTGCTGAACGCCTATTTCGTGATCAACGACGAGCCGGAGAGCGTCCTATTGGCGGACGAGGTGATGGAGCGACGACCGAGCACGCGGGCCGGTGCGAACGTGATTCTGTACAGACCATCGGGCACCGGTAAAACTGCGGCCGCTCGGGCAGTGGCCCGGTCGCTCGGTTCGAATCTGGCGTTCGTCAACGCGGAGAACCTGCTGTCGACCTACCGCTTGGAGACCAAGAAGAAACTGCGCTCGCTGTACCGGAAGATGCGCGCTCTCGTTCGCACCACCGGTCGCAACGTGTTGCTGCTGCTGGACGAGGTGGACGGACTGGTGAAGAATCGTAGCGGTGCCTTGACCAGCGGCGAGTACAGTCTGCTCACGAGATTTCTTACGATTCTCGAACCGAACGACGGGACGGACAACTACGGCGTGTTCAGCATCTTCACGACCAACCGTCTGAGCAATCTGGACGACGCGTTTCGTCGTCGGTGCGCCGCCGTGTTCATGGGTTACGTGGGTTACGTGGGTACGCGGGAGGCCACGGTGCGATTGTTCAACGCTTTTCTGCACCGACCGATCGACTACGCGACGCGAGGCACTAGATTCGCCAGTCGGGACTACGAATCGAAGATTCGTCGAATATGTCGTCACTGGGTGCCCGGAGACTTCGCGCGCTTCAAACGCACGATCGGGAAACCATCGCGCTTACGTCGTTACTTCGAACGATCCGACACTACGTACGAGGATTTTGTGACCGAACGCCTGGCGACGCGAGGTGACGACGCCGTCGATGACGGTCGCGACGATCGAGAGATCGCGTAACTCTGCCGTTGCTATCATACACCGAGATACTGGCGCACGCGGCGCGTTACGAACCGGTGACACCGCTTGACAAATACGGCGAGTACGATCCGCTGCCGGCGCAACGGGACGGGAACGATGATGAGGATGGTTGAACCAGTAGCAGGAAATAATAAACGACTCGTCGTAGATACTGACGCGTACGTGTATCGTTTAATCGACCTCTTTCCTTCAGGTGAATGTGCATACAAGTGCATATACGTGCGTGCGTCACGAAAAACGCAAAGAGATACGGCGCGCGAACGCGCGCTCGATTATCGAGGTATGTGCGACACGACGCGAGAGCCGCCGCTACGAAGCGACCGTAGCGGTAGTCCGGATGAGATTCGTTTCGCGTATATTTCTCAGAGCGAGCACCCCGGATCGAGTTCGGACGTTTGAAACGTTCTCGGCCGAATCGCGGGACTCGGCGACAGGGTTGAACCGCAAGCTGCGCGGACACTCGACGATCCTTGGTTTCGCTCCGCATAACTCGTTCGAACATCGACGATTCCGTAACGGCGACGGTCGTCTTCGGGCGGTTCTCGCGATGGTCGTTGGGCGGCCGTCGCGAATAACGGTCGTCGCGTCGAACCGCGGACGAGGGACGCGGCTGTCGGTAGCGACGATCCTTCGCGGTAGCGATAGATATCCGGCCCATGGCGAATCGTGCACCGTGGCGTTTGTTCCTTCGAGCGTGTGTCAACCGGCATCTGGCGCGTACGTACGATCGAGAGTCGACGATTTTCTGTCTCGTCGCGTACGCTCCAGGCTCTACGCGACGCCCGGATATCGCGATCGCCGGACGACGACGTTGCATCGTGCGAACATCGAGGAACGAGATCACGCGGTCGGAACGCGCGAACACAGCGGAACTTCGCGCAGTCGTTTCGCGGAAGCGATCGCTCGCGTCGTTCGCTAACGACGAACGCTCTTGCGTGTGTGTGCACAGATTTCGAACGCGATACGCGGCGACGCAGCTGCGGCGTCCGAGAGGCGCCGTCGTCGAGCTTCGAGACGCGACGTCGGGACCGACGATGGCGGCGACGACGGCGACAGCGACAGCTGCGACAACATAGATGGCGCCGACGCGAGCGAGGACAACGTCGTCGATCGTCGCGCGGTCGCGATCGATCGTCGGCGCTTGCGCACCCCCGATCGAGTGGCTCTGGTGCGATTGTGGTATCGCTGCGACGGTAATGTGAGACGCGTCATGTCGCTCTGGAGACGGTCCCGCGACCGCGACCCCGATGGGAACGACGCGCCGAGTCGTCGGCGTTCGGTGTGCATTCATACCGTTCTGGCCACGGTGCGACATTTTCGCGAGCTAGGCAGCGTGCGCGATCGACCGCAACCCGGCCGGCCGCTCAATGTGCGCACCGACGCTAACATAGAGCGAGTGAATCTGTCGCGCTCCTCTCTCATGCGCATTCAGCGACTGGATTTGCGCGTGCAGGCGTACAAGGTGCAACTGACGCACACATTGACGCAGCCCGACACGGAGCAACGACTCGCGTTCTCACGGTGTTTCCTGCGATAGGTCGCGCGCGATCGTTCGTTCGTGCATCGTCTCATAATGGGCGACGAAGCGCATTTCGATCTCTCCTGCGAGATGTTCAATCGGCAAAACGTGCGGTTCTGGGGCGCGCAGAATCCGCGATTGTGGCAACCGCGAAGCGCGCACTGTGTGCGCGTTACCGTGTGGTGCGGGGTGTCCAGAAGTGGCGTTCTCGGCTCGTACTTCTTCGAGGACGCGGCGACGCGACGCAGCGCGAGCGTCACCGGCGAGCGGTATCGGGAGATGATCGAGAATTACGTGGTGCCGTTGCTTCGAGACGATCGTCGTTACGATCCGCGTCGGCATCGCCGAGACGACGGTCGGTGGTGGTGGTGGCAGCAGGACGGCGCCACCGTGCACACCACTCGGGACACCATGGCGGCGTTGCGTCGCGTCTTCGGTCGCCGTTGGTGAGATCTCGCGTGTACACGAAACATCCCGTGTTCGCGGCTGCGTGCTCGACGACCACTCGCGCCAGATACGACAATCCGACGCCGGCCGCGATCAACGAGACACCCAGATATAGAATCATATTAGTTCGCGACGTTTTGCTGAGAAGCGCGTTGGCTCGATTCAGAGTCGTCGGATCGGAGCGAATCACGCGCTCCAGTGTCTCGGCGCTCTCGATTCGCTCGGTTCGCGCGACAAGGTTTCGCTCGATCAGCGTTTCGCGATGGCGCGATGGCGCGTCAGGTACTCGGCGCGACGAGCGATATTTGTGTCGGGAAAATGAATCGACGCCACGTTGTCCAGATGTCGGAAGAAGGAGCTTCGAACGGCGCCGGTCGCCGCCTCGAACGCCTTGACCGATCTGGCGGTGCGCAGCATCGCCATGAACTCGTGGGCTTCCACGCGACCGCCGAGCATCACCAGTTCCTCCCCGTTTTCGGTGACGCGTTTAGTCGTTGACAGCGACGAGAAACGCGCGGCGAGGGTTCGCACGCGCTTTCCCAGCATCGACAGCACGACGTTCCAATGAGTAACCTTTACCGCGAAGGAAACGCCCACCGCGTAAAACGCGCGAGTCGCGTTCGCTATGAAATGGCGCAGAGCCGTACCTACGGATGACATGGTGCTCTCAACGCACCGGATACGGATCGGGAGAAGGTCGAGAGAACGAGCGGACGATCGAACGACGAAACAGTGTCACGTTTTTTCCTCTCTCTTTATTCCCATTTGTCGTACACGCGTACACTCCGGTCTCGCATTTTTTCGCCAGTAGAGCACTTATCAATCCGAAACGCCGATGTCGCCGGTTCCTCTACCACGGACGATTCGTCGGTCGCGACGGACGTCGCCATCGGTCGTCTTCGTTCTCGTCCGATGTCGAGAACTGAGGGTCGCTGCGTTTCTCGGGGTCTCGCTCGTCGAAACGATCATCCTCAAGATGCGGATATTCGGTCGATCGAATCGCGATGTCCTCGGTAAGCGACGCGATCGTCGCGTCTTCGAGCCACGACGACATCTGGGCTCGGGAGCGCGACGCGTCTTCGCGCGACGCGAGCGTAATCGCCCGTCGTCGTCGCGTCGTCGACGATCGTCGCGACGCGTCGTAGTCGAACGGACGACGATTCTCGCTTCCCTCGAGGACGATTCGCGACCGCGCGAGATTCCTTTTTCTCCATGGAGATGATCGCCTATTCGAGAAGGCGCGACAGCAGTACGGTGTCGTCGGTGTCGTCGTTCTCGCCCGGTGGCTTCGTCGTGACGTCGACCTCAGTGGCGTCGATCGCGTCGTCGCGAGGAGCGACCTCGACGCGAGTCGTCGCGGCGCCGATCGCGATCGACGCGGTCGCGCGCGTCTCGCGTTCCGGCGACGCGGGATTGCGATGATCGCGGTCGTCGGTCGATGAGACTCGCGACTCGATATCGGCGACGACGGTGTCGACGGACGGTCGTCGCGACTACGCGATCGTCAACGCGTACGCGTCGCGTTCGTTCGCGCCGCTGTCGAATCAAGGTTTGTCGACGGTTTGAGGAGCGATCGACATCGTCGCGCGTCCCGCCGCCACCGTCGTTCGCGACGCCATCGTCATTGCCTTCAGTTCTCGCGTCGGACGAACGCGCGGCGACTCGCTTGCCTCACTCGTCGTTCACGGCGGTTGCGGCTCGATTCTCGCTCGCGCCGGAATCGCCGCGACGATGGAACAATCGCGTTGGCGCATCCGCGGTGTCGTCGACCGCTCTCTTTCTTTTGACGAACATGTCCACGTACGTGTTGACGGCGTCCATATCATTCTACTCGTACACCGGCGCGTCTCTGAACAGTCGCGAGACATTACCCACGTATTCGCGCAGCGCCTCCAGCACGACCGAGCGCATCAGACGAAAGTACGGGTTCTCGCAGGAGTCACCTCTCGCACTCGCGTCGTACGTTTCGCAATTCCTTCGAATGTCGTTGAACACGTCCTCTATAGTGATGTAAACGGTGCGCACTCCTCTGTCCAGCGGAACGAGTTTGGACGCGGTGGACGCCATTACGCCGCTGCCCAATTGAACGGCGTACCGGTAGAACGTCAGTCGCGTCAACGACTGCACGAACATATTGAACACCATGTTCATTTCGCAGCACGCTTCGCGATCACTGTTGCGCAGCAGCGTTTTGTACATGTCACGCAGTACCACGGGTATGTGTTTGTCGTGACATCGCAGCATATCGATCGATGCCGTTTGTACGTAGCGCACAGCGTCCATGATCGGCGATCTATCGCTGGCGTACGGATTGATCGCCCGAAACGCGGCGGTCGCCGCATCGATCAGCGACGACGATCGTGGCAGGGTGTTCTCTCTCGTTCGTTCGGACTCCGAAACACCCTTCTCGTGCGCAGCGTTGCGAGCAATGGCTTCCGCGACGCCGCGTTCGTCGTTGTCTCGCGGCAGTGGAAAGGTTCGCGGTGTCAGATTGTGCAGGTGTTCCACGATGTTTCGTTTCGCGCTTCGCCGCGCACGAACGGGGTGCGCTGAACTCTAACGTAGCGGCGCGAAATCACGCGGTCAGAATAATACGCTCCTGTATTAAGAGAACGAGGTTGGCGAAAAAAGAGCATGGTGGAATCGGACGCGTCGTCTTCGTCATCATCGTCGTCTCTCTTCAACGCGGACGAATCGTCGCGTGCGACGCGTCGTCCCGTACGCGATGAGCGTAGTTATCGCGAGTACTCTCGAAGCGCCAAGGGCGCTGCTCGCGATCATGAAATCCCAATGACGACGTCGCTCCTCGTCGAGAACGCCGTCGTCGAACCGATGTTTCGAGCGACGACCAGAAACGGCGTTTGTGATGGCGCGTGTTGCATGTTGCGATTCTCGTCACGATCGGCTACGTCGTCGTGTACAGCATCACGCAGGCCTCTTGCAGATACAGTGATATCTGCTGTTTTGAACGAGGAGTTCGCCAAACGACTGTACATGCACGATATCCGATACT